ACATAGAGAAAGAGAGAGAAAAATACAGACACGCACAGATAGAAAGAGATACAGAGACCACCCTGATCTAAATTATAAAGTGCACCTAAAAGTCAAATCTTCAGAATGGAGTTTCCTTTTGTTAAAGATAGTAGCAAAATAATCACTGTTATATTTAAGTGCTCCGAGACACTACCCCATGTGAAGGGTGCTATATAAATGCAAGTTGTCGTTGTTATACAGCAATCAGAGTAGAATAAGTCCCAGTGTCGCTTTCATGCCTTCCCTCATCCCCCAAACTGTGGAACTCCTTATTGCTCACAGTTCCCTTTTCCTCATACAAGATACTAGCTTTTTGACGCATGTATTCCATTTGATACATTATGCCTGAATCTTGAAGTGAGCAATTTATCTTGTTTTGTCTGATGTTCTTGAACCTCGTTGCTGTGCTTTACTATGGGCTTTGGGTTCCTTTTTCTAGGTATGCGAGATTAACGACACAATACTTCTGAATAAATACAATACACAAAGGCTTAATCCCACTGTATGTTTCCCTTAAAGTGAAGTGTCAAAACATTTGGCATATCTGCATCCGTTCCGAAACAAGTGAAGCAAGTCCCAATTGACCACCAATGCAAATACATCTGAAATGACACCTCATGATGGTACTAAAACAAACAACATTTTGTGTACTGTGCTAACACATTAGCACTGATAGCACAATACACAAGTAAGCCATAAATTAAGTGAGATTCAGTAACCATCTCTTATAGGCTAACCTCAATTGCCATGAGTAACTTAGACAAATTAATTTTCTCTCTATACATTCAGTTCTATTTAAATGGGAAGCAAAGTCTCCCACTGGCTATCGTTAGATCTGATATGGTTATAAAAAGATGTTGGGATGAAAATTGCAACCTGTAATTTACTATTATTAAAAAATTATCTTTGCATTTGATATTGCACCTATAATATTAAGAATGTTGCAAAGCACTTCATAATCTTTCAGTAAAGTGTAGCAACTATGTATTTCCACATTGTTGATGCTTTTATTTATCAACTGGTTGGTGGGTGTGACCTCCACCTAATTCTGTCACAATGGTTGGGTCTAATGATGGTCAGTTATGAACATGGACTGACTGGGATGGAATGTCGGGCAGCAAAATACCAGATCAGTTCCAACCAAAAATAATGAAGGGTAAATCCGGTTTGAGCTCATCTGGCCAAGTGCATGATGGGTTCCAATTCAGGCCCAAATCACTGTGACCGTATTTATGGGGGGGTAGGTGGGTAAACAATAGTGATATTCTTGTGAATCAGTCAATGTCATTTGGTTATCATTACACTTCATTTTTACAGCGATTATTAACAACAGCGTACCGCTATATAGCTCCCTTCATGTGTGGCAGCATTCTCCGAGTGCTGTTAACACGTCACAGGTCATAATTTTGAGCCATTTATATTTATCGGCCAAAATGCTCTCATAATGAAGATCTCTGCAAAATATTCAATCTTATTATAATATATATATCTATATATATTTATATTACACCTTTTAGGGATATTAATCTTGGGTTGGCTGAGTTGGAAGGATTCTTGCCTCTAGGACAGAACATTGTGGGTTCAGGCCCATGTCCCATTTTGAGCTCAGTCTTTAGGCTGACACTTCACTGTAGGTATTGGGGATTCAGAATTGTTGGAGATGCATTTCAGATGAATGTTAAACAAATATCCTGCCTGCTTTTTGAGGTGGGCGCTAAATGCCTGCCATATTTGCTGAAACTTCACTTATCACTACACTTGACAGTAATTGTTTGTAGAGAGCTTTGAGATGTTACAATCTGATAAAGTGCTATAAAATGCTTCCTTTATTATGTCCAGTATTTTGCTCTGCAGAGCTACTCAAGAGAGAAAACTTGTAAGGAAATGTCTGCAAAAAGGTTCCCTTACCCCCCCCACTCTTGCTCTGCAAAGCACTTTGACATGAAAGGCACTATAACAAAAGCAAGGATTATTATTATTATTTTTATTATTATTACTGAAGCTGTGTGTCTGCTTTTCTTCCCAGAGTGCCTGAAGAAAGTATAATATGTTCAATGGGACAAAAATGTAAACCTAATACAATACTTTTAGAAGTGACATGAAAATAGGACGAAAGGTCACCAGGATCAGGGTTGTGAAGCGCAAGTTTAGGGCACACAGAAATACTTTATTTGACTTGGATGATAATCAACACAACAACAACAAGATTCCATTTATAGCACCCCTTTCACGTCGGGGGGACCTCCCAAGGCGCTGTACAGTTGGGTCAGGACCCGAGTAGGGGGGAAATGGTCATGGTGCGGGGAGGGAAGGGGTAGAGAGTTGAGAGGGGAGCTGAAGGCACGGTCAAAGAGAAAGGTCTTGAGACCGGCCTTGAAGGAGGAAAGGGAGGAGGCAAGGCAAAGGCACTGGGGGATGGAGTTCCAGAGCCTCGGGGCCCGGCCACCGATGGTAGGGCGGTTGGGGCAGGAGATGTGGAGCAGACCGGAGCCAGAGGAATGGAGGGTACGGGCAGGTAGGAAGGGGGATAGTAGATCGGAGAGGTAGGAGGGAGCAAGGCCGTGAATGGCCTTGTAGGTGAGGATGAGGACCTTGATCACATCACCAAGAGGTCGATTTCTCTATCTGGGTGTGAAGGCCAATTTCATTTGTATAAAATATTTAAATATCTTTGCAACTCTAAACCTATATCCTCTTGTTCTACTGTCTTGGTGCATCCTAAAATATTGATCCGGATTTACTTTTTCAATCAGATTTAAAAATGTTTTGCGTTTACAAGGTTTACCTTACTAAGATGTCTTCTCTCAAAACTTTCAAAGTTTGTCTAATCATTGCTCATAGCCTGGGCCACTGGAAAAGTGCAGACATATTTGTAGCAAATTGCAAAGCCCTTTGCTGGCCTTGCAGGAAATTGCGGAGGGTTTTAAGTTTTGCGGGGAAATTACGGGGGTTGGTGCTATTGAGGTACATTCTACGGCTACATTTTTTCACTATACTGATAAAAAGTAAACAAGGAAATAACACATTGAAGCAAAAAAAAATTATTAATTGCTTCTTTAACAAAAACTATATGGCCATTTTTTTGGGGGGGTGGGGGAACACCAGCGAGGCTACACAAGCTCATCACCTCCTGCCTCTCAGGGCCAGCACCACACTCAGACACACACTCACTGAGAGACCCAGATACAACCACCCACTCACAGCCCACCCACAGACAGAAACACAGAGAGAAACAGACAGACACATAGACACAGACAGAGAGACACACCAACAACAAAATGACATTTGTAAGTTGCTTTTCACATTGGGAGGACATCCCAACGCGCTGGACAGACAGAGTTATTGACCCGAGCTGGGATTCGGGGTTGGGGAGGGTGGAGGGCAGTGGGTGGGGGGTTGGGGAAGCAGTGAGATCAAAAGCACGGTCGAAGGGGAGGGTCTTGAGATGGGTCTTGAAAGTGGCGAGGGAGAGGCAGAGGGACTGCAGAATGGAGTTCCAGAGTGTGGGGGCAGAATGGCAGAAGGCCGGACCGCCAATAGTGGGGTAAGCGAGGCAGGAGACGTGAAGCAGGCCAGAGCCCACTAAGTGGAGGGAGTGAGCGGGATGGTAGGGGGTTAGGAGGTTACAGAGGTAGAGGGGATTGAGGCCATGGAGGGCTTTGAAGGTGAGGACCAAGAGTTTGAACTATATGATGGGAAGCCAGTGGAGTTGGGCGAGGATGGGGGTGATAGGGTCATGGAGCAGACAGTCACATAGAGACACAGACACATAGAGATTCACAGACAGACACATACAGAAACAGAGACACAAACAGTCACGCAGAAACACATTCCTAACAGCTGGGCCTCCAAGTGCAGCCCATTTGCCTCTTGCTCTGCTCTGCCCATGCGCGCCCAGAGCCGCTCCGCCCACAGTGACGTCAGGTAAACAGAGTGAGCAGCTCTCAGGCTAGAACTACATTTGTGGCGGGTTTGTAGTGGGCGAGAGCCACTGTGGCAGAAAATGCGGGAAAAGTGCAACGGCACTTTTCTATTGGCCCAGATCATAATCCATTCCTCATGCAAAAGAAACCAACGGATAACTTGCAGCTGAAGTTTCAAAATCCTTTTTACCTCTGTCTCTGATGTCATCCACCAGAATGATTTCTCTCCTCTTCACTCGCTCTAGGCCTGAGCAGCCATCTTTTGTCTCACTGACCAGAACTGGAGGCAGTACTCTTGGTGCAGCCTGACCAGACCACTTGTGTGAGTTCAATCTGATGTCTGGCAATCAGAGCTCAACTGGTTTAGCAATATATGCCAGCCTCCTATTTGCCTTGTTTATTGCAATGGATTGCCACCAACCTTACTTATATCAAATCACCACTTAGGGCAATGTTGAGTGTCATCTTGTCATCAAAATGCAGAGTTTGGGAATCCAGAACTCATGATCCTAAACCGTATGTTCTGTGTTTATAGCCATTAAGAGATACTAGACACATTGCTGTAAACCATTTACATGCACAATACAATACACATATATAAAACATATCTTGTGCAACACAGATTATCCAGGAATCAGTTATTTACAAAAGTGCAATACTGACCAAAGAAACACTGCTATCTTTCCCCATCAGAAGTTATCCATTTTGAATCTGTTGCAGCGATCTTGATTACGTTTGGAAGAGTTTCTCAAATGTAGAAACTAAGCCAAGGCTATCCTGCTCGAATTACATTAACCACCAAAAATTAATCAAGTTTAAAAATGCCTTATGTCAATTGCAACTTTCTGAATGGAATAATTTGAAGACTGAATTACAAATAATAAAATGCATTATATATGTTCTGCAAGACAAGAAATGCATACAGACCTGAAGGCTCTCCAAATACAATGCAAATCAGATTGATTGAACAGAAATACAATCTGAATCATTTCTATCTGTAGAGAAATGGAAAATAAACCAACGGACTTACAGCTGAAGTTTCAAGATCCTTTTTACCTCTATCACTGAAGTCATCCACCAGAATGATTTCTGCTATTAACTCATCCGGAGAGCGATTGATAACACTGTGCACAGTCCGCAGGAGCGAAGACCAGCCTTCATTGTGGAAAGGGATGATGATACTGGTGTTTGGCAACTTTTCCAAATACATTTTGTGTTTACAGCTGGAAACAGAACACAGGTTGTGAAAGAATGAGGCACAATCTGTTACTCGAACTGACGAGTTTTACAATTTCTTTGAGGAATAATTAATATGATGATAATGCAGCAAAGGCCAATCTATCAATTGGCAAGTTTTTGTACAGACAGTTTGTTCTTTGTTTAAAACATTTTGAACACTTTGTTGCCCTGCTGTTGAAATGTAACCCTATATTGCATACCTAACACTAACTACAGACTCCCATCATCGAGTCCTGTATCACATTGGTTACAGAATTTGCCTTGCAAGCAAGAGGACCCAGGTTCGATTCGATTCCTGGGCAGGGCAAAACCGTAGGCAAGTTTCCTTATTCCACACGTTACTGTTTACCTAGCCATAAGTAGGAACCCGGTTGCTAGTCATTTAGCAGATTGCTTTTCTGGGGGCTAATGAAAAAAAAATAATAATAATGTAGTTACTCAATCCTTGACTGTTTGTAGGACACTGCTGTGCGCAATTGGCTGTCGTGTGTTTTGCCTGCAAAATATAGTCAATTCACTTTGCAGTATATTCTGTGAAATCATCTCAACGATATGATAAGGAGTTGTATAAAATGCAAGGATTGTTATTATTATTATTAACACAACATTTTATCAATTTGCACATATTTTGTGAGGTATAATGGGGTATTATTAGATATTAATGCCTAATAATTATATAAAGGAATCAGACCTTATCACCAAACAAAATGACTGCAATAAACACATTGAATTAATACAGTATTTTGCTAAGAGGATGATGCTAAAAGAGATAGGGTGGGGCGAGGCCATGGAGGGCTTTGTAGATGATATAAATGAATACAGTGATGGGGGTATGCTGCAGTTGGATGTGCCGTCCTTTAGAAAAGTGGTTTCATCTTTTTTTCCTAAAAAGAAAAAAACAAAGGTTTCCTCATGATTCTTTACCAGAGTTATTTGCTCATTGTTCCTCTGAACCCTCCTATGCTTCAAATACATCACCCCATGCACTCTTCTCCCTTTCCATCACCTTACTTTCTTGCACTGTCTCCTCCCTTTATCTCATTCTTTCTCAGGATCCAGGATAAGGAGATAGAATTTAGCTGGGGGTTTTCTACTTCCTTAGCCCCGTCAGTCTTCTCTTCCTCACAAATCACAAGATTGGTTCAAGTGACAAAGGCCCTTTGGCCAATCCTGAGGAATACTTACCATCCCATCACAACACTTATTCGATTCATTGATTATTTTTTGAGTGAAGAAAACATGTTTTTCCTGAAATTACCGTTGAAGCTCCAAACCACTGTCCTCTTGTTCTACTGCCCTGGTGCATCCTAACTCCTACAATTCACAGGCTTCACAAGCTTGGCAACACCTAAACATTCCTGCCTCATTTACTCTGTTCCTCTTTTCAACTTTAGTGGTGTACTGCACTATGGGCTTTAGCCCTTCATGGAGGTGCTTCATAAAAATATATTATCAAGACATCCACATGAGGGGTTGATCTTGACAGAATTGCCACATATTTGTGTATCTAGTGTACCAAAATCAATACCTCTGCTCCTGAAATTGTGGTAGGTCACAGGTGTTAATAAAACAAAATAAACTATTTTCAAAGGCCAAATAACATGCAATTTATTTTTGCTTCTTTCGTTTTTCCTCTCAATCCTCTTTTGTTTGCTCCAGTGTTGACTATTCCAGTGCTAATCTTCCCTTTCGCCAAAATAATTGCTGAAAAAAATTGCAAGTAATACAATCCGCTCGTTCTATTTTCATTCTGAATTACATTCCTGCTTTCCACCATGTCGAAAAGGCACGTATTCAAGAGGTTTTTAAAGATAGATAGAGAGGCAGAGGGATACATAAGAGAATTTCTCCATATGAAAGCACATCCTCTGTGCTCTTACTCATCCCCTCATCTTCCCCTTCTATTGTGAAAACACGAACAACAAGCTAAACTAATTTGATGCTGCACCAACAAGGACAGTTTAAACTGCTGGATACAGATAGCGACAATGAATAGCATCAAGAACTGCAGCTCCGATGCAACTTATTGATCAGGTTGAACTGGTTCAAATCCTGGCCCATGCCCTATGCAGGGGATGTCATCTTTGTAGAATGGGCGTGGTGGGGTGAGGTCATCGATGGTCGAGCTTTCAGCTTATCTGCCCCCACCCTCTGAAATTCCATCTTTTGCCACTTCCTTTGCCTTGTTCAAAGTCTGTCTCCAGACCCTCATCTTTAACTGCACCTTTGGTCATCTCCCCCACTCCCCCCCCTCTACGAATCCCCCATGGTGCCCCCTCCTGAATCCAACCCCCAGCTCAGGTGCAAATGCTTGACTATCCAGCACCTTAGAAGGTCCTCCCGATGTGAAAGGTGCTATATAAATGCAATTTGTTGTGTTGATGCTGGGGAGCCTACTATCTTAAAATCAATAATAAAATAATGTAGTGATTGTAGATAGAAAAATGTAGATCATCTAACTCACTCCTATAATCATAGTCTCTATTATCTTCATCAGCACATATTCCACATACTGGATTACATTAGAAACATATTAGATCATTTATTTCTTAAATAAAAGTTATGAACAATAGTAACCTTGCATTTGATACAGTATCTTGTCACGTCATTAAGACATCTCAAAGAGGTTCACAGGATTTATTATGAAGTGCAGTGACTGTATTTGTAGGCAAACGCAGAAGCCAATTTGCACACAGGAATGGCCCTCAAACAGTCATAAAGTAAGTAACCAATTTTATCCAAGCGGATTGTTAGCCAGGACACCAGGAAAAACATCCTTCTCTTTTCGAATAGTGCCAATCAATCATAACATTTACTTGAAAAGGCAGCTGGGAGATTGGTCTATGTCTCATCCAAACGACAGCATAGTAACAGCATGGTGGTCTCCCAACACTGAGTTGGAATGTCAGCTTAGATTGCAAGTTACACTTGCTGTTTGTTTGTGGCAGTCTCACTTTCCTATGCTTTTTCCTCATTTCTGCTCGGTATGTCAAATCAATTTATCATTAGCAGGTGGAATAAAGTTTGCAAATCGACCTTAACTCAGAAGTACAGAGTTTNAAAAAAAAACCTGAAAATCTTTAATTGTGCAGCGCTTTCACATCGGGAGGACATCCCAACGAGCTGGACATTCAGGGATTTGGACCCGAGCAGGGCGTTGGGGTCAGGGATGGTGGAGGGCAGGGAGGGTAGAGGTGGGTGGGTGGCCAAATGCATAGTTGAAGAGGAGGGTCTTGAGACGTGTTTGAAGGAGACACTGGAGGGAGAAAGATGAAAGGACTGTGGGATAGAGTTCCAAAGGGTGGGGGCAGGGAGGCTGAAGGCCCGATCGCCAATGGTGGGGAGGGCGGGGGATGTGGAACAGGCCGGAGCCTGCTGAGCAATGGGAGCGGACAGGTTAATATGGGTACAATGAGGTAGTACAGCTGGGGATTCAATGTGTCCAGTGGAGTATTTCACTTATTCTTATGTGTCAGCCTGGATCAGTTGGTAGCATTCTTGCCTCTGAGTCACAAAGTTACAAATTCAAGCTGCAGGTCAGAGGTTTGAACGTGGTCAGCTGACATTCCAATACAACAAAAACAACAACAAGATTACATTTGTATGGCGCCTTTCACGTTTGGAGGACGTCCCAAGCCGCTGGACAGTGTACAGCAGTTCAGACCCGAGCTGCGGTTGGGGTGGGGGAAGGGAGGGAAGTGGAAGGGGGGTGGCAGATAGCATGGTCAAAGAGGAGGGTCTTGAGGCGGGACTTGAAGGAGGCTAAGGAGGGGGTGAGACGGAGTGACTAGGGGATGGAATTCCAGAGGTTGGGGGCAGAGTGGCTGAAGGCTCTCCCGCCAATGGTGGGGCGGGTGGGTCGGGGGACGTGGAGCAGGCCAGAGCCGGCTGAGCGGATGGAGCGGGTGGGTTGGTAGGGGGTTAGGAGGTCACAGAGATAGGGTGGGGCGAGGCCATGGAGGGCTTTGTAGATGATATAAATGAATACAGTGTTGGGATATGCTGCAGTTGGATGTGCCATCCTTTAGAACAGATGTTAAACCCAGGTCCTCTCTGCCTGTTCAGCTGGATGTTAAAGAAGCCATGGCACTATTTGAAAAGTGAAGGGAATTTCTCCTGCTGTCCTGGGCAATTCCCCAGATAAAATTAGTCATTCACTTCATGGCTGTTTGGGAAACAATGCTATGTGCAAATTGGCTGCCATGTTCGCCTACAAAATGCAGTCACTATACTTTGCTGTAAATCCTGTACAACATCCTCCTAACTTGAAAGGCACTGTATAAAATGCAAGGATTATTTATACCACCAATATTCTTCCCAAACAGATTTACTGTATTTATTTCAGCACTGGTTTCTGTTACTGCTGTGTGCAATTGGCTGCCAGGTTTCGCCCACAAAATGCACAGTCAAAATATACACTTTACAATATATTCTGTGAAGCTCTTTGAGACATCTCAATGACATGATAAGGCGTGAAATCAAATGCAAAGATTGTTATTATTATTACTTTTGATGAGAATCTTACATATCCACTACCTTCTAATGTAAAATACTCTGCTAAGGAAAATATCTCTTGTTGTGTAAGTTTTACAGTGGGGATTTTCTGCATTCTCATTTTGTTCCTGAGCTCCAAAGCAGGTGATAATAAAATGATAATGTCAAGGCTGTGCAACAGATTTCAGCAAGAAGTCAACTTTCAGGCTAATAATTGATCACCTCCCAACTGTGCAGCACAGAAGAATTCCTATTTTTTTTCCAGGCTAATTTCACAAACCTGTCAAGAAGCAGCAAAAATTACTGGTTATCACTGCTTCATCGAACCAGAACGACAAGGCTACATTAGAGTGGGAATGGTGTATGACTGAAACTGAAGCTGTAAATTCAATGCACTGACACCTCGAGACAATTACTATGTAAATTGTTGCCGAGAGTTTTCACTTTGGCATTTTCTAAACCTCAAGTTGTCACTCGTTGGATGACAAGTGGGCATTGTATTCCTAGCAACCGAGAAACTGCAAAAGGTCTCAATGGATGCACCACTTAACATTGCTACGGTGACAAGAAAATAATCTAAGCTATTTCTTTTATTTTAAAAAAAATCAATAATTTTTCTCAATTTTTTTTCAATATATATATATTTTCACAGCGTGGGCAATATCTATTGGTGACTTGTACATTCACCTGCATTTCCAAATTAACACCGGAGAATGTTTGCATTGAGCGTCCACTTGTCTGTCTTGTCAATTATCAGCTCCCTCCCCAAACTCCAAAGGTTCTCATTCATCCGCTTTATCTCTGTTTTGATGGTTGCAATTACTCTTCAGGGCATTGAGCAGTAATATGTTTCAAGTTACATAAATTGTCTATCCAGTGAGGTTTAGAAGTCAGGTGCGGAGATATCATTCTCCCAAATAATAATCTTTCCTTTCATGTGAAGAAGGATATCCCAAAGTGTTTCACAGGATTTACTGTGAAGTGGATTGATTATGTATTTGTAGGCAATCGCAATAGCGACTTTGCGAACAGCAATACCCAGAACAGCTATAACAGTGAATGACCAAATTTTATTTGAGTGGATTGTTGACATTCCCTTCTCTTTTCAAATGATGCCATGGGATCATTAATGTCCACCTGAGCCGGCAAACAGGACTTTGGTTTAACATCTCATCCAAATATCAGCACTTCCAACAATGCAAATGGAGTGACTGTTGGGTTCTTTACTGTCTACCTGCTCCGATGGTCAGTTAAGATCTCAGCACTGAAATGGAATGTCAGCTTAGACTAATATGAGTTCAAGTCCTGACGTGGGGCTTGACTACACAAGCTTCAGACTCAGATGGGAGAGTGCTACGTGCAATTACATGCAATCAGCCTGACTCAGTAGCACTCTCAGCTCTGAATCAGTAGGTCGTGGGTTCAAGCGAAATGTCAGGATATTCTGTTGCAGCTTTGCAACATGTGCTGCATTGTTGGAGGTCCCATCCTACAGACGAGCCATCAAACCTCGTCCGCCTGTTCCGGTGGACAGTAAAGATCCCATGGTAAAAGAGAAGGGAGTTTCTCTCAGCATCCACACCAACAATCCACCTAAATTAAAATTTGTCATGACTGTTTGTGGGGCTCTGCAAATTGACTGCAATGTTTGCATACAAAATACAGTCATTAACTTTACAGTAAATCCTGTGAAGTACTTTGAGACGTCATCCTGATGTCACTGAAAAGCACTTTTCAAATGCAAGATTATTATGCATGAGTTATAAACTTTGATCAACACTAGAGTCATCCTCTGTGGATGAGAAACTTCTAGTAGGCTGTACACATCCTGAAGACTTGTATCTGTCCCTGGTTGAACACGCAGGATCAGGTGGTTACTCATGTTGAAGGTGGGGGTGTGGGGGTGAGTGGGTGGAGGGGAGAGAGGTGTAATGCATGTAAAATACAAATAATATTCCTTTCATTTGACATAGCGCGTTTCACATTGGGAGGAAGTCCCAAAGAGCTTCACAGAATTGACTGTAATGTGTGGTGACTGTGTATTTTGTAGGCAAGCATACTGTGTATAACATTTAAAGTAAATGGATCAGAGATTATTTTTTGTCAACTACAAAGTAAAACATCTCTACTCTATTAAATTGTTTGCACCTTCATTTTATTTTCACTAGCAATTATGAAACATCCCATTAAACTCAGAAAGAGTCAGGTTTTAGACCAGCCTTTGTCCTACTCACAGAGATTTCTCCAGAGTTATTATGTAGTGATAATGTACTCCAACTACTGAGCTGGCTTTGTGGGAGTTGAACCGTCCATAAAATATAATAGCACTGCTCAGTGAGCACGCCAACCTTTTGGAACACTTGTAAGTTTAATTTTATGATGTATAGAATTGTGCAGTGGGAGCAAGCAGGACAACCTGGGGCCCCATCTCTCACTGTGGAGAACCTGCAAGAGAGGAAAGTAGAACCAGGCAGCTGTCAAGGGCCTGAATTTACAATCCAATGACATGACTGAGAAACAATGGATTGAAATATTAAAATTAGGCATGGGGTAGTTGGGGAGCTGCACATTGTACTGATGTATCTGTGAAGTCTGTTCTAAAAATGAGCTTGTTATAGAAATGTGTCTTATCTAAATGTTTCAACATATTGTCAAAATCTAAGAATGAGGGCATCTCTACAGCAAGACTTATAAAGACTGTGACCTTGGCAAGTCCACGTAGTTGGTGGCCCACCCCACAGTCTACAAAATATTGCTGCTTCCCCCTAGCCCCCTCCACCCCACCTGATGACAAGGATAGAGAGGGGAGTTTCTCCCAGTGTCGTGGCCAACAATTTTCCGAAATAAAAAAAAAATTCACTTCTTAGCTGTTTGTGGAACTTTGTAGTGCGCAATTTGACTGCCTTGTTTCCCCTCCAAACCCACAGTCACCGCATTTTATAGGAAGTGATGAAAGCATAACCTGTGAAGCCGTAACTCAGAAGATAATAGTCTTTTGCAACACTGAATTTTTACTGCTTATAATAACAATAATAAGAATAATCCTTGCATTTTATATAGCACCTTATCACACTGTTGAGACGTCTCAAAGCGCATCACAGAACAGATTGGAAAGCCTGTGTATGTGGACGAAACTCGGCAGCCAGTTGCACACAGCAATGTCCCACAATCAACCGTTGATTGAGTGACCACATTTTTTAGGGGGAGGGATTATTACTCCGAAAAGTGAATCACCAATGGACTAACAAGTGGGTTCCTACTTACCGATAGATAAACAGAGGAGTGTGGAATAAGGAAACTTGCCTAAGGTTTGGTGCTGTCCAGGAACCAAACCCAGGTCCTCTCGCTTGCGAGGCGAATGCGTTAACCACTATTCTATGGGACTCACAATGCAGCCAGTAAGTGTACATGCAGTGATGGGTCAAAACTACTTTTTCTGTGAATGAACTATTCAACTGATGGTATTATTGCCTGTAGAAATGGGGAGCAAATATCTTTGCACCCTTTATAATTTGGCTGAAGCCAATCTTTGCATTGTATCTTTAGGCGAAAGTCAATTACCTCCACCTGCTTAAGGTAACACTGCCAGCCTGTATCATGATAATAATAATAATAATAATAATCCTTGCATTTGATATAGCGCTTTTCACGTCGGGAGGACGTCCCAAAGTGCTTCACAGAACACACTGTAAAGTGAATTGACTGTATATTTGTGGGCGAACGCGGCAGCCAATTGCGCACAGCAATGTCCCACAAACAGTCGTAGATTGAAAATGACCAATTTATTATTGTTTTGTTTTTTGGATGGATTATTATTAGGCATGTGGAGTAAGGAAACTTGCCCAAGGTTTCGCCCTCTGCCTGGAATTGAACTCAGGTCTCTCACTTGCAAAGCGAGTGCTCTAACCACTGAGCTACAGGACTCCACGATGGCATCATTGGGCAATGATCCGAAACGTGTGACAGACAATAATGAAAACGATGTTTTATCTTGAATGCTGCTACTTAGAGGTTTCACCCCACAAGGTATAAAACTTAATACATGAGCCTTTTGAGTTGACAACTGTCCCCTTGTTACAATAGCACAGATATATCTGAGTCTGGAAGTCAGTGAACAGGAAACATAGGCGCAATTAACCCGGTAAGACAACTAGCAACTAGGACAATTTCATTTTCACTTACTTTGAATGTCGAATATCTGGAAGCGCACGATCTACAGCAATGTTGTTGCTCACGTAAATGTTGAAGCCATTTTCCCTGTATGCTGAATCAGCTTGATCTTCATCTGTCAGTGGATATGGCTTTCCATGTTCACCAATTCCTGTAATAAAGAGTATGATCACCAGAGTGTGCTAAGCAAATTAGTATGGGATGCTCTCATTGGATTTGATTCATTTTGTAAAGCGCTTCGAGCTCTACCTTCAAAAAATAAAATTGGTCAGTCACTCTGTGTCTTTTTGAAGGACTTTGGTGTGCACAAACTGGCTGCCATGTTTTTCCCACAAAATAATAATAGTGATAATAATAATAATCCTTGCGATTCATATAGAGCCATATTATCACGTCATTGAGATGTCTCAAAGTGCTTCACAGAGTATTCTGTAAAATTAATTGAATGTGTATTTTGTGGGTGATGGCAGTAATCAAATTGCGCAGAGCAGTGTCATGGATTGAGTTGACAAATTGTAATTTTTTTTTAAGGGATTATTACCCCCGGAAAGCAATCTACCAATTGACCAACAACCGGGTTCCTACTTTCTGCTAGGTAAACAGAGCCATTTGCAGTTAGTTTGCAGTTACCTAAGGTTTTGCCCTGCCCGGGAATCAAACCCGTTCCTCTCGCTTGCATGGCGAGGGTTCTAACCGATACGCTCCAGGATTCCAAAAAATGCACAGTCAAAACCACAGTATGAAACAACATGATAAGGTGCTATATCAAATGCAAGGTTTATTATTATCTTTCGATATAATAAGTCGCTTTATTAAAACGTCAGTATACTAAAAGTATTATTATTATAATCAAACTTGCTCTTGTACTGGCACTGTTGCTAGCAGTTAGATCCTAGTTAGAGATCTGAGGTGTAAAAACTAACCATTGTTGACGTTTATCGTAACTTACATACAAAATTCAACTTATACTTTGAACAGAGGTCTCATCTCCCTGTTCAAGTGGTGTCACGCTGCACTCTTCAAAAACAGAAGAGATTTTCTCCTGGTTCCTGGCCGCAAACAAATAGAATAGGTCATTCATTTTATGGCTGTTTGTGGACCAATGTTATGCTTAAATTGAATGCTGTGTTTGTCTATAATATACAGCGACTACACCTCACAGTAAATCCTGTGAAGAACTTTGAGATTTCCTATTAATAAAAAAAGTCCTAGGATTATTATTATATTACATAACTTAATGTTGCTGAAAAATAAAGACACTTTAGGAATACAATAGCTCTTAAACAACAACTTGTACTTATATAGTGCACTTCACGCTGGATTCTCAGGTATTGAGACATCTCACAGTGCTTNAAAAACCCTCTATATACGTACAAAATTTCGCTCACAAAATTGACTTTACATTAATAATAATAATAATTCTTGCATTTGATATAGCGCTTTTCACATCTTCTAGACCTCTCAAAGTGCTTCACAGAATATACTGTAAAGTGAATTGACTGTATATTTGTGGGCGAACGCGACAGCCAATTGCGCACAGCAGTGTCCCACAAACAGTCGTAGATTGAAAATGACCAATTTATTATTATTTTTGTTTTGATTACATTACACATTATAATCTGTGAAGCACTTTGAGATGTCTCGAAGATGTGATAAGGCACTTTATAAAACCCTAGGATTATTATTATTATAATAATGTACCACTGTTCTGATCTCAAAAAGATGCTGCACAATCATTTGTAATCTCTAGTCTGTAGTGCAAGCAGAAAAGGTAAAAGCACAGTGATAACATGGTATGGTCAGTAATTTTGTGTGGAGGCTAGGAAATGTACTTGAACTGGCTGATAAAATATTTTTAATGGTTAATCTTGTCAAATAGTTAAGCAATTGTGACAAATAATGCCCATCAATTTGACTGAACCTCAGTGAAATTGTGGCACTAGTAAATATGTGCAGGCCAATTAAAAAATGTTCTTTGAACACTTCATCTCAGTCCTCCAGATGGAAACTCGTCCTTCACAATTTTACCCTGAACCTTCTTGTCCTTCCATCTTGAAGTTTACAGTACACTACAATTTAAACGTCATTTGGATCCAAAATAGACAATTTCACAAAGCCGATCGAAGCTCAAACCACCTCGGGACTAGAACCATAAAAACATAGTAATATACAGCACAGTAGAAAGCCATTTGGTCCATTGTATCTGTGCTGGCTCTTTTAAAGACAATCCTTTCAGTCCCATTTACCTACGTTTTCCCCATACCCCTTTAGCTTATTCCTTTTTAGGTCTATCTTGTTCCCTTTTGAAAGCTAACATGGATTCTGCTTCAACCATTGCTCCTGGCAGAGTATTCCATATTCTAACCACTTTTGTGGAATATCAGCAATGAGAAAACAACCACAGTGGCAATGAGCATAGTGAACAGGCTGTATACCTTTTCCATTCCAGGCATTAAGGTGGCTATCTCATTCTATACTCCAAACACATGATTGCCTCCATAAAACAGTTAGGAATTGATCACCTCTACAAATTTACCAGGCACAAAGGATAATAAGAAACACGGGAACGTAAGAAAATAGGAACAGGAGGAGGTCAATCAGCCCACTGAGCCTATTCCATCTGTTTGTTGGATTTTGGCAGATTTTTTAATCCAAATGCCCTGTCCTTTTGCTATACCCAAGAATACCTCAAGATAAATATCTACTTTCAAACTTGATGTGTTGCCTCCATTTCTAGTGAAGTGCCCAGATACAAATATAGAAGCAGTACCTGTAAAGCACTTTGAGGCATTTTGTCATTATAGGCATTAAATCAAATACAAGGATTATTATATAAATGTTTATGGGAGGGGAGAAAGAGTAAAATATACATCAACCTTTTGTCTTGTGGGGTTCTGTTTTGGATTTCTCTCCATCCTTTTTTTTTAATTTCTCTTCACAATTCATTTATGTTTAAGATTGACTCAGTTGTTAGCCTCTAGGTTAAAAGGTTGTGAGTTCATTCCTTACATTGAGGATGATAGGTGGAGGTTGAAGATCCCATGGCACTATTCAAAGAAAGAAGGACGTTTCTCCTGATGTCCCAGCCAACAATCCCCCAAATAAAATTAGTCATTCACTTCAATGTTGTCTTTTGGTAGATTGCTGTGTGCAAATTGGTAGCTGCGTTCGCCGACAAATACACAGTCAAACTTTACAATATGCCCCATGAAGCGCAATGCGATGTTTCAACCATGTAATAGGGCATTCTATCAAATACATGTATTAGTATTATTATTATTGCAACCCCTGGATAGACGACTCTCTCCTAATCCTCTGCCAACTGCCTTCTAACTCATTCTAATGCAAACTCTCCAGTCTGATGTACAAGCAATAATGTGAGCAAGATGGAAATTGTTTTCAGATGTAGACGGATATTTTGCCCACTGTGATTGACAGCCGATTCCTAGTAAACTCCAAGCAATAAAAACACCCTGGTTGGCAACTGATTTAATTCAGACACTTTCACGAACTAACCAAAGTAATAATATTGTCTTTGTGATTAATGTTCAAAAGTATTTAGCAGTGACGGCTTAGCTATGATTGTGAGCACTACTAATAAATATTGTGGCTTCAGTTTTAATGTACTATGTGCTGAACATATTTATCACAATGATAACTGAGAGAAAAGAAAAAGAAGGATTTGCATTTCATAGCTCCTAATGCTTTCAAAATGCCTCAAAGCACTTCACAAGTAATTACTGTAAGTGACTATTTTTGTAGAAAAGCATGTCATCCTGGTTCACGCCTCACCCTTGTCTCTGAGTCAGAGGGTTGTGAGTTCAAGCCCCGTGTTGGGACTTTAAATTCAAGGTCCAGGCTGACAGTGCTGGGGGAACACTGCATTTATTAGGGGTGATGTTATTTGAATGAGAAATTAAACTGAGGTCTCATCTATCTGTTCATCTGGACATTAAAGATAGCTTGTTCTGTTATGCAACCATTCCCCCAGAAAAAAATGGTCATCATTTCATGATTGTTTGTGGGACATTGCTGTGTGCAAATTAGCTCTCATGGTTGCCTAAAAATAATAATCCTTGTATTTGTTGTAGCACCTTTCATGTTCGGAGGATGTCCCAAAGAGCTTCACAGTATTTACTGTAAAGTGGAATAACTATGTATTTCTTGGCAAAAGTGGCAGCTCAATTGCATTAATAATGTCCCACAAACAGCCATGAATCAAATTACCAATTTTATTTGGGTGATTGTTGGCCAGGACATCAGGAGAAACTCCCTTCTCTTTTTGATTTGTGCCATGTGATCTTTGACGTCATCTGAAGAGGCAGACGAGATTTCAGTTTTACATCTCATCCGAAGAACAGCATCTCCGACAATGTAACACTACATCACTGGACTATCAATTTATGTTGTATGAGGTCAAATTCCAACGTGGTTCTTGAACCCACAAACTTCTGAATTAGAGTGCTACCCTTAAGCCAGGCCTACAAAATAAACAGTAACTACACCTTCCAGTAAATCCTGTGAAGCACCTTGAGATGTCTTCCCGACATGAAAGGTGCTATATCAAATACAAAAATTATTATTTTTTAAACAAGTCAGACATTCACACAAGCAAAGATCCCAGAAACAAACAACAGGTAAATGATAATTAATCTGGAGGATTACTGGCCAGCGCATGGGGAGAAACTCCGTTCTCTTGTTTCAAAATCTCTGACAATGCAGTGCTCTTCCAATACTGCATTGGAGTGCCAGCCTAGACTGTAATGTCAAAGTCTCATAAGAAATAATAATCCTTGCATTTGATCACCTTGTCACATTGTTGAGACATCTCAAAGCTCTTCACAGAATATATTGTAAAGTGAATTAACTGTATATTTGAGGAAGAAACACAGCAGCCAATTGCGCACAGCAGTGTCCCACAAACACTTTTGGATTGAGTGACCCAATATATATTTTTTTGTAGGGAGTATTACCGGAAAGCAATCTGCTAATTGACTAACAACCACATTCCTACTTACTGTTAGGTAAACAGTGGCGTGTGGAGTAAGGAAACTTGCCTGAGGTTTTACCCTGCTCAGAGGGAATTTACTTTTAACCTGAGACCAGAGTGCTGTTAATTGAGTCAAACAGAGAGTGAAGATTCCTATTGAGATTAGTGAGTGTCTAAAAATAATCTTTCTCTTGGAGATAGAATGGAATTGATATGGAAGCAACAGGGATAATTGTTCTGTGTTCTGTGTAGCTTTGATAGACTAAACTGACTTTTTTCAGGCCATGCCTTACTTTCTTCCAAGACAGCCAATAATAATAATCCTTGCATTTGATATAGGGCCTTATCACATCTTTGAGCTGTCTCAAAGCGCTTCACAGAATGTACTGTAAAGTAAATTGACTGTTTATTTTGTGACTGAAATGCGGCAGTCAATTGCACACAGCAGTGTCCCACAAAAACCCGTGGATTGAGTGACCAATTTTTTTTGTTTGAAGTATTTATTATCTACTTACTGCTAGGTAAACAGAGGCGTGTGGAGTAAGGAAACTTGCCCAACATTTCACCCTGCCAGGAATCAAACCCAGGTCTCTCACTTGCAAGGTGAGTGCTCTAACCACTGAGCTACAGGACTCCACATTAAATGTCACATTAAACATGCAATATGGGGAAAGGGCCATTTTCCCCATATTAGGGAATGAAAGGTTTGCTCTTTTAAAGAGAAAGTACAGATACAATGGTCTGAATGGCCTTCATCTGTGCTGTTAATTTCTGTGGCTCTGTGTTTATCAAAATATACACAAAAGCTTCAATCCAGTAATGTTGCAACAACATCCAAACCCCTTGTGTGTGTTCATTCGTTATATGGTATGCACAGATTTCTTTATCACCACGAACATCTCAAAAACATCATTTTCACAATGATTGCCATATGGCAGCAAAAGCAAATCTTTGTGCTTGACTGCAAATTCCTGATTATGTATGACATTGCACCATGTTGATTCATACCACGTGCTGAATACTTAAGTGTGAAATTAATACTTCATTTGGTTCAGTGTCAGGAAGATGTGGCCATCACATTTCAGGGAAGCTAATTTTAAAAATAAAGGTTTGATCCCGGTGATATGTATAGACAAGCTAGGGCTATTCAGTGTGGAGAGGAGACAACTCAGAGGAGACCTGATAGTGGTGTAACGTTTTGAAATGGGATTGAAAACCTAAACCCAGGAGAATAGTTTAGAATGCTCCAAGACAGTATAACAAGAGGACATAACAATAACATTAATAATCCTTGCATTTGATATAGCGCCTTATCATTGAGACGTCCCAAAGCACTTCACAGAATATACTGTAACGTGGATTGACTGTATTTTGTGTGAGAAATGGGGGCCAATCACGTACAACAGTGTCCCACAAATAGTCGTGGATTGAGTGACCAATTTTTGTTTGGAAAGCAATCTGCCAATTGACCAACAACTGGATTCCTATTTACTGCTAAGTAAAAAAAAGCGTGGAGTAAGGAAAATTGCTTAAGGTTTTGCCCTGCCTGGGAATTGAACCTGTGTTCTCTTGCTTGTGAGACAAGCGTGCTAATCACTACACTGCAAGACAGATGTTTAGAGTTGCAAAGGACAGATTTAGGACAGATACCAGTAAGTGTTCCTTTACTGGGAGTTATAAACAGTTGGAACAGGTTGGCAGGAAGGGTGGTTGAAGTCATAATATTAGACTCATTCAAAAAGCGGTTTGGTGTTGTGATGGGAGGACAGTAGTGTGGATATTGTGGAGGGATGACATCAGATTGTACGAAGGGCCTTCTTTCATCCGAAACATCTTGTGATGCAATGACATACTGGGTCAGTGTTCTAATGTGATGTCCCAGCAAATGATAAGATGAAGATTTTGAATTGCAATTCTCTACACGATCCAATTTCACTGATTGCTTAAAAGTTGAGGGAAGATTTCTACCTGCTTAAATGTATGGATGCAATTTTGCTTTGATTGTTTCTGTTAAAATTCAAACAGTTAAAAAGGATCTAGAGGCCCAAATTTCACCTAATCTTAGCCAGTAAAACATATTTATTTAAATTTTAAGATTGTGTAGGATTATGGAGAATTAATTTAAAAGCCAGTTCTTTTTAAAGGTAGCTTCCAAATTAAGATCAAGTTTTCCACAATTCAAGACAAAATAATTTTACAAGCTAAGACCAGAGATAATTTCAGCTCTTACATGTCGAGCAATTTAGAAACCTCAAAAGGTTATAGAGATGAGTGGACCCATCCGGATTTTGAATCCAGAATATTCTGGATCCAAGTCCAGTGCTTAAGTGACTGAGATGTTCAAGGTGTTATTATAATAATAATAATAATAGTGATAATCCTTGTATTTCATTCAGCACTTTCACATTGGAAAGATGTCACAAAACACTTTACTAAATTTACTGCGTGTTTTTTTACATGAATGCAGCCGCCAATTCGTGCCACAGTACCGTCCCACAAGCAGCCATTAATTGAATGACCAATTGTACTGGGGCATTGGTAACTGTAACACTGGGAGAAACATCCTTCACTTTTTGAGTAGTGCCATGGGATTTTTAACATCCAACCTGAACAGGTGGACAGGACCTGGGTTTAACATTTCATCCAAAGGACATTGTTCAGATTAAACTTTATTTAATATATAAAAGTAATACATTAAACTTGTGCCTCTCTCTTCTTTCTCTAAGTTTATTTTAATCCACTTTAAGAAAATCAAAGTTTGAATTTGGCAATAAATTGGTTTTGTTTGAATGTCGTTCAATGCAAATTCTCTAAATAATAATTGATTAATAATAAGTGATTTTTGATTTGTGAGAAAACATTCTTATATTTTTCACCCTAAGTATAAAACTGATTTCATAGTAGTGAGTGAGAGGGAAAGAAAGAGGGAGGGGGGAGAAAGAGGAACATAGGAACTTTAGTAGGACATTGAGCCCCTCAAGCCTGTTCTGCCATTCTATTAGATCAGATGAGCTCAGGGACTGCTAACAAAATTGGGGAACCGACACCGAGTCAGTGACTGGAAACGGGATCTCTGATGGGGTCAGTGGACGTCGCAAGGGAAGGTTTAAGGCTTACGTTTCAGATTTGGTTCAATGAAAGGTCGTCAATTCACAGTAAAATAAATGAAAGCTCTCTTACCTCAGTTGGTTTTCTCATCCATGAACACATGTAAATCTCACAGGACAAAATCTACATGTGCTGAAGGCAGCTAAATAAAATCAGTCTCCTCAGGAGAGAACTGCAATTCCATGGCAATAATCTGCTGTCTGAAAATCAGGTGCTCTTTAAACTGAGTGAACAGGTATAAACTGCTAAACTTCTTGTCATTTTTCTTCTCTGCAGTGACCTAGCATGCTGCTTGTAGCAAATAGCTAGGGAGGTTAATAATCATTGCTTGGAGTAGGCATGTGAGGGGGTGGATTTGTATATAAGCACATGGGAGAAGGTTGACACAATGCTGTGATCCCAATGGCAATTACAGCAGAGTGTGGCTGCACAGTTTCATCATGTGCTCATCAAAGCTGTACACGATGCCTTTGGCCATTTGCATGATTGCACATACTGATGATTCAGTCTCTTCAATTTTCCGCTGCACATCTATCTATGTGCAGATTTGTAGAATATTATTCATAACACATTGGAGGAAGCAAATTTCCAAATTGGGAAAATTATTGGTGAAAATTGTAATCAATGTTCTGCTAAGAAATACCGGTGCTAACTCATTGCTGAACGATGCAGCCATCTGAATGTCTTAAATAATCTAGTCTGCAGATGACACCCCACCCCCTCAATCCATCACATGACTCAAAGCCAACATGTAGACATTAAATGTTCCACCGGCTAAAATTACTACATATTAAAGTAAATCATGTAAAATGCTTTGAGACATTTACCCGACGTGAAAGGTGCTATATTCAATGTCTTGCCTAGGTCTTGAGATGGACCTTGAACTGGGGAAGGGAGGGAACAAGATGGAGGGACTCCAGGATCGAGATTTATCTGAGGATTGGTAGCCAAGAAAACAAAGAGCAAATCATTCTCTTTTCAAGTAATGTTATGGAAAATTTAACGTCCACCTGAGCAGATGGGCAGCAAAACTCAAGTTGGTACTTATTTATAATGTAATGGCTTAGAATAATGGCCATTGTTATGACAAGAATATCTGCATCCAATACTGAACATTTAATGAGACCACAAATTTTCCCCTTGCCAAACTGATTGCTGTGCCTTTGCGTGTTCCTATTTTAAGCTCACTCCAATGAGGTTTGTAGATTCACTGACAATGGGAACAATTCTTCTCCAAATCTTTGCACTTCAGAGGAATTTAAAGTGATTCTTAAACAAAAAATCAATCAACTTGTACCTGAACGCATTAAGTCTTTGCGAATAGTTTCATAGTTGTGCCAATCCTTCCTTTTCAGGCCATCTGCCCAGCTGTAGGAACGCTCTTCATTTGGACCAAATGGAAAACCCTGAAAAAAATAATTGAATTTGTTCTTCACACTGGTATTCAATGTCATATGGAATTATATAATGGATTATCGATTTTTATCCGGTTTCTAAATGATGAATGTCAGACTCTAAGATCTCCAAAGGCGATTGAGCATAAATCCTAGAATAGTCATCCGTCCCCACATCGTCACCACTCAAATCTATCCCTCTCATTCCCTTCTGTGCACTACATATCAATCCCTCCTGGCTCCAGCAACACAGCAACCAATATGGCCTACATACGCATTAATATTCCATATCTGTGTACCAGAGTTTCACTATACTGTGCACTTTGGATCCAAAACCACATTTTTTACCAGCTCAAAGTGATTAGGAGTCAAAGATGTGTGTCCGTTTAATAATGCATTGAAATAGATGCAAAAAAATCATCTGGAAATTACTACAGTTCAGTAAATAATAAACATAAAGAAATTGAATACAGAGAAATTGGCACAATTTATTTTTCTGTAAATATTCAATATATTTGTTCTGCTGAAATATTAAAATGTAATTATTTGGGTTGTACCTACAGCCAATCTAGAACTTTTGGAATTTCAGTGTTGGTAAATATAGAATCCGCATCGTTGTTTCAATGATCAATCCATTTCTAGTTTCTCCCAACAGCGTTTTACTTTTGCTTGGGAAAGAACTGAACATTAGGGTTGAATTTTTTTCATTCCAATTCTCTCCACCTTTCTCCTAAAGACACAGATTCCTCCTGGGGTTTGGTTCTGAAGGAACCAGTCCCTCTCCATTGCTTGGCCCCAGTTCCCAAAGTTTCTGTTTCTGCTAATTCTGCAAGATAAAGCCTTAATTGGGAAATGTAGTCCTTGCTGAGCAAGCAGCAGGAGGCTTGCCAGACAGTGCTGTCAATGACAAGCTATGTGGTTTAGCTGCTTAAACCCCAGCAGTACTCTAACACACACTCTGGGGTCCCCAAGTATTGGTTTGTGCCAACCTGCACCTAATACTCTACAGAATTAGGTAAGCAGGATGCATTCCCCTGGATAGAGAGTGTGTGTTCCTTTCCAGACATAGGAGATTTCCATACAAAGGTAATATGCATATCTGGAACTTTCAGTTTGATTCTGATGCTCTTGAACATAGCAGTGGGATTCTACATATGTCAGGCATCTGGCTGACCAAAAAATATACTGTATATACTTTTTGTGTCAGCTGAATCAGTGAGCACTGCTGCATTATTCTCTTGTGGAGAGGATCGTAGCTGAGCCTCAATTCTGTCTTCACTTTTTACACATACTTACTTTCCAACAGGGTTACAGGATGGTGATGAGGTGTTAGTACCTTGAGTGAAATGTTATACCCTCCCAGATGAGAGCAGATACCTGAACACAAACCTGGGATCTCCAAAGTAAATGGGTGGCTTATTGAAAAAATAAATGTCTCAACAACAAAACATTATATTTGTAATAATAATAATCCCTGCATTTGACATAGGGTCTTATCACATCTTCAAGATGTCTTAAAGTTCTTCACAGAATATACTGTAAAGTAAATTGACTATATTTTGTTGGGGAAACACGGCTGCCAATTGCACACAGCAGTGTCCCACAATCCATTGGATTGAATCACCAAATTATTATAATTTTCTTTTGAAGAGATTATTACCCTTCAAATGCTCTGGGACGTCCTCCCAACTTGAAAAATTTGTATAGTGCCTTTCACGTTAGGAGGACATTCCAATGCACTTTAAAAATAAAATCATCAGAAAATATGAGAGAAGAATATTACCCAGTAAAATATATTTTTATTAAGTGATTCAAGGCTTTGTACAGTATGAACAATATAAAATGGATTACCTCTGTTGTTCACTTTAGAAGAATTTGACCCATTTCCCAGGCAAATTTTAATTCAATAAGATCCCAAACTGCATTGAGCTGCTGTCATACCACATTTACACTAATTAAAACAAATGGTTTAAAGCATGATGTACAATTAGATAACAGGAATAACTAAAGGCACAAAACAATTTGCAGATTTAAAATAAATATTTAACATCATGTTTTATTTATACGTGTATCACCATGATTTTATTAAAAGCAATAAACTATTATCTGCTGCTCATAAGCATCCCATTACTTTAAAAGTAGATGTTCCACTTGGATACAAAGCAAAAAGAGAAAGAGAACCGTACATGAGATTCTTATTATAGTAGTTAAACACAGACATTTGAAACGTCTCAAAGCGCTTCACAGAATATACTGTAAAGTGAATTGACTGTGTATTTTGTGGGCGAAATGCAGTAGTCAATTGCGCACAGCAGTTTTCATGTGTGTGATCTACTCTCAGTTTTCAACTCAGATTCCTTGTTAAGAAATCCCATTCAGAAATGTCACAAATTAACTTCCAGTACTATAACTAAAAGGATTTAGATGAGATCAAATGGGTCGTTTTCATCAGACCTCTCTTGTGATCTTGGACCAAGAAGGACTCATGCCAGTAATGAAGAACTATAGTGTTGGTATCAGGGGTGGAACTGTCTAGCCACAAGGTCTCTGATCCGCCTGATGTACCAACACCTGTGAAAAAGACTGCTTTTTGATCTCAACTAATTCTTTTTAGTAGGAGTAGGAGTAGCTGTACACCACCAAAGTAGAATATTCACAACTGGAATCTATATTGTCTCCAATCTTGTCATTTTAGCTTTATGTTGGCTTTCACACAGACAGTTCTAAAGGAAACGTTGTCTTTCAAAATCAAAGAGTGCAATTATCTTGTCTATTGTAGGGCTTTAGTGCAGTAGTCATTACAGGAGTATTTTTTTTTAGTTTTACATATAGTTTTGGTGGTGTCATCCCTGTGCCAACTTTTGCGATGTAATTTAATACCAGTAAGAAAGCGTTATCACTCAAGCAGAAAAGTGCCAAACCAAACTAATAATTAAAGTGTGTACCAAATTGAGAACAGTAATCATTTTGCATCACTTGTTGACCACCTTGGATAAAAATACTAATGATAACCCTTGTATTTATTGTGTCATTGAAATGTCTCAAAGTGCTTTACAGGAATTACTGTAAAGTGTATTGAATGTATATACGTAGATGACTGTGACAGCCAATTTGACCACAGTACTATCTCACAAATAGCGTGAAGTGAGTTAGGAATTTTACCTGAGGAATTGTTGGCTTCATGTTCCTTGCAAGTTCTTCTGATAACTTTTACAATTCAATTTATATAGTACTTTTCACTCTGCTGCTCATGTACCAGGCTCTGAACCACTATCACTCTGGTTGTTACCAGGCTCCACTGATCCCTTTTGCAGAACGGATCGATTTGAAGATCCTCATACTCACTTTCAAATCACTTCACACCCTGGCAACTCCCTGTCTTTCTGATCTGTTCAGATCTCAATCACTGATCTGCTCAGACCTCCTTCGCTCAGCTGGCTTGGGTCTTCTGCACATCCCTCATCCTCTCCATTCCACCATTGGCAACTGTACTTTCAGCCACTATACCCCAAATCTCTGGAACTTCCTACTTCAATCCTTCCAACTTATCTCTCTTTGACCATCTTCAAATCACAACTAAAAACTTTCCTCTTTGAGCGTGCCTTTGGTCACCTCCCTCCCTTTACAGCTCAGAGTCAAACCGTACCGCTGTTATGAGCTCCGAGATGCTACTTGTAAAGTGAAGGTGGCTATATAAATATAAATTATTGTTGTTGCTGTTCACATAGGGAAGCTTTCCCAATGCTCTTAAATATGTGAACGGAGGCACATTTGAAGTGCAGTTTTATACTTCTATGTAATGTCAATTTTACTTTTTAAAAAAGAATCCATTAGATCCATTGGCAGATCTACAGAAACAACCATGTTTGAGGGGTAAATGGCTCACTATGTTTTCACACATGTATCACACATATTGTGACCTTGAACCTCTAATAAAAGGATGTCATTTCTAATGCATCTCAATGATTCCTGAATAAGGAACTTGTGGATTTGTGGACTCCTGTTTTTTGATCAGGTTTTTTGGAGCTGAATTGGCTCCAAGATGACATGTTTGGCAACAGAATGTCGGAATCAAGCCCTCTGTGGTAGTCTCGGTAGTATTCCGAGACCAACGGGTCCACAGTATTCCAGGGCACTGTTGATGACAGCACAGCCAACCTGGCTCATCAGCAGGACCTGGAAGGGCAGACCAGTCACTGGGGCCAAAGAACCATGCCACTCAGCTCCTGTTAACCCTGCAAACCAAAGCACTAGCAGATAGGGTGGTCCTAGCTGCACAAGCAACAACAACAACAAGATTTCATTTATAGAGCGCCTTTCACGTCGGGAGGACGTCTCAAGGCACTGGACAGTTGGGTCAGGACCCGAGCAGGGGGGAAATGGTCAGGGTGAGGGGAGGGAAGAGACGGAACAAGGAGGGGGTAGAGAGTCGAGAGGGGAGCTGAAGGCACGGTCAAAGAGAAAGGTCTTGAGACCGGCCTTGAAGGAAGAAAGGGAGGAAGCGGCGAAGACACTGGGGGATGGAGTTCCAGAGCCTAGAGGCTGAGAGGCTGAAGGCCCGGCCACCGATGGTAGTGCGGTTGGGGCAGGGGATATGGAGCAGACCGGAGCTAGAGGAACAGAGGGTATGGGCAGGTAAGTAGGGGAATAGTAGGTCAGAGAGGTAGGAGGGAGCAAGGCTGTGAATGGCTTTGTAGGTGAGGATGAGGATCTTGAATTTGATCCTCTGGGGGATGGGAAGCCAGTGGAGGTGAGCGAGGGTGGGAGTGATGTGGTCGCGAAAGCTTGACAGTGCTATCAATTGCAAGCCATGCGATTTTAGCTGGTTGGACTCCAGCAGTACCCCAACTCTGCGGTCTCCAAGCCTTGGTTCTTGCCAACCTGCGCCTAAAACTTTCCGCAATTAGGTAAGCAGGATGTGTCCTCCAGGGAGAGAGTGCACATTCCAACAATCTATCTCTGGGATTTCCATGTGTAGTTTCATGGAAATCTCAGCTTGGTTTGGATACTCT